GGTTGGACGATTACTGATATTAAAGGGATCAGTCCTTTGATTTGCTCCCATCATATTCATTTGGAAGAAGGAGCTAACCCGCGAAGAGATCCTCAAAGAAGATTGAATTCAACAATGAAAGAAGTGGTGAAGAATGAGGTTCTCAAGCTGTTAGATGCTGGCATCATTTATCCTGTTGCTGATAGCAAGTGGGTTAGTCCGACCCAGGTAGTGCCAAAGAAATCGGGGGTCACTGTGGTGGAAAATGAGAAAGGGGCTCTAGTTCCCACAAAGGTCGTGACTGGTTGGCGCATGTGTATTGACTATCGCAAGCTTAACGCCGCCACTCGCAAAGACCATTTTCCACTTCCATTCATCGATCAAATCCTAGAACGAGTGGTAAGTCATCCTTTCTATTACTTTCTAGATGGCTATTCAGGATATTATCAGATAGAGATAGCATTAGAAGATCAGGATAAGACAACATTCACATGTCCTTTTGGCACTTATGCCTTTCGGCGAATGCCATTTGGACTGTGTAATGCACCTGCCACATTTCAGAGGTGTATGATGAGCATTTTCAGTGATATGATCGAAAAATGTATGGAAGTGTTCATGGATGATTTGACAGTCTTCAGAGATTCATTCGACACGTGCCTTCTCAACTTGGAAGTCGTTCTACAAAGATGTGAAGAGAAGGGTCTCGTGCTCAATTGGGAGAAGTGTCATTTCATGGTGTCATCCGGCATAGTTCTTGGGCACATTATTTTTGAAAGAGGAATCGAGGTCGACCGCTCTAAGGTTGAACTCATTTCTAACCTGCCCACCCCTAAGGCCGTTAAAGATGTCTGATCTTTTCTAGGGCACGCCGGATTCTATAGGAGGTTCAGTCAAAACTTTTCATCTATAGCAAGACCACTAAGCAACCTCCTAGCAAAAGATGTTGTGTTCAACTGGACACAAGAGTGTGAGGATGCATTCTGAACACTCATCACAAAACTGACTTCTACCCCTATTATGCAGTCACCAAATTGGAGCTTATCTTTTGAGATCATGTGTGACGCAAGTAATTATGCTGTGGGGACCGTTCTTGGTCAACGGAGGGAGGGGAAGCCTTTCGTTGTCTACTACACAAACCGTACTTTGAATAATGCTTAAACTAACTACTCTACTACTGAAAAAGAGTTGCTTGCTGTAGTATTTGCTCTCGACAAGTTCCGTGCATATTTGATTGGTTCACTTATCACCATCTTCACAGATCATGTTGCCCTTAAGTACCTTCTCTCCAAAAAGGATGCTAAGGCGCGTTTAATTAGGTGGATCCTTCTCCTGCAGAAATTTGACTTGACAATCAAGGACAAGAAGGGAGTCAAAAATGTGGTGGCGGACCACTTATCTCGTCTTGAATTTAATGATTCCGCCGCAATTCCTGCTATTGGAGATGACTTCCCCGATGAACATCTCTTCGCTGTCACTAAGATGCCATGGTATGCGAACATTGTTAACTATTCGGTGACAGGCAAGATTCCATCTACCTGGGGTGCACAAGACAAGAGGAAGTTTCTGGTCGAGGTTCGTAACTTTTATTGGGATGACCCCTATCTTTTTAAGTACTGCCCCGACCAGATCATAAGACGATGTATCCCAGATGATGAAGTGTCTAGTGTCCTGAACTTTTGCCACAACGATGCATGTGGCGGTCATTTTTCTATGAAGAAGACCGCCGCGAAAATCTTGCAGTGTGGTCTCTATTGGCCCACTTTATTCAAGGACACCAATGACTTCTACCATTCCTGTGAGAGGTGCCAAAAGCTAGGTGCTTTGTCCCATCGCCATATGATGCCCTTGAACCCGATTCTC